ACCCACGTCTGCGCACGGTGGTGGTGGCAGGTTAGAGCAACACAGGTGTCCATTGACTGTCTGTAACATTGGACACAGTGTTCGTATAGTCTAGTACAGGGGTGGGCAAACTATGGCCCGCGGGCCAAATCCGGCCATCGAGGCAATTCCATCAGGCCCACGGAGGTATTAAAACATTTTTGCGAGGAAGTACAAAATAACTTTGCAGTCCAATTGTAATGTATCTGAATAAATCTAAAGTTATTTAGATATAACACACCTCCAGTATATATGTTATGTGTATACATTTTAATTATTGCCCTTTTCTGGCTCACAAATCTTTTAGAATGAACAAATTACATAACAAATGTGGCCCTAGTAGTCTATATACGCTGCTGTGGTAAATATCAAGTGTGAAGGAAGCTGCCTGCAAACCTGCAAATTAAGAGATTGCTGTTTAGTGGCGAAAAGTGGCGAAATGAAAGTAACCGCTCACAACTAAACAGGCTTAATCCTATATTTGAACGTTAATATATAATATATATTTTAGCTATGAGATGTAGGTTTTCCCGAGGACTCGGGTCGTTTCCCTAAAAATAGTAGTTAAAGCAATAATTAGGCTATACTGATGATATGACAACACATCGATATCGTAGCATATATATAATGGAAATAATTAATTAATTAATTAATTTAACGGTGCTGTTAGCGCGTATAGGTATTAGGTTGACACGTAGTCAGAGTCCCATTCAAAACAAACGCACGGACTAATCTGTTCATCTGAAGGATCAGAGTCCAACCTAGTCTACTACACCGTGATAACCTAGATTACTACTAGAAATACAAGTTACATTTAAATATTATAATATTTGAGTATTCAGTTACAAACAAACTGATAGTACAGGTTTGAAATGGCGACCTATAACAACAAACACTATGTGGTTAACCCATTGCATACAGTCTATAGGATAGACAGACAGGCATCTGTCTGTTCATGGGTCATCTTTTTTCGCATTATTGCATTTCCAGAGTGCGGTTTCCATGATTCGCAGAGAAAAGGATGTATCAGTCCCTTACCACACATAGTTGTCTTATAAATGGGTCCTGTTCCGGGTGATGGACTGTGCCTGCGTGGTCGTTTCCCCTGATGCTATACGGTTAATACTTCTTATATTATTCTTCTGATCTCCAGAAGAAACTATATACAACTTGTCACTCCCAGCTCGTATTTAAAAGCAGCTTCCTTGTGCGCCCGGCTCCACCCCCCCCGTGCTCAAGGTAACCTGGGAAACCAACCCTTAACCCACATGTGTATAATTTATTCAGAAATATAGAGTAACGTGGACAAGGGAAATGGGTGTAACCGTGCATATCTCAAGACGGAAAAGTTTGTCTGAATAAAAAATCCACGACTTTCATTGGCCATCTTGCAGAAAAAATACATTAAAAGTATAACATGAGTATAATTACATTATAAGTAAACTATATATAGTTTGCTGTTTACCATTATTAACCCAAATATATTGTTATATTTATATAATTGAATAAAACTGGATATCTTTTCGTTATTATAAATACGTAATAAACTAATAATGAAAGAGTATCAGTCTTCTAAAACTCATCTATACACAATGCAGTTACCCTGCATAATCTCTCTTCAAAATTATCTATACTGTGTGCTCTGTATAACTGAAAATGTATGGCTTAGTCTTTAAGTGACTTTGTGTGAAATAATAAACGTACTAATTGTTTTAACAATCTAACAGATTAAAAAAAACGTATCGTTAAACATCACTGAATTGCCCTTTCAACAATTATCTGACAATAGTCCAAATTCCTTTATCATCCATTCTTTTAAGAAGACATTTATTTTTCGAAAATAATGTCAAACTTGAGGTAAATCTATACACAGCCTCATATATTCAACGTCTCGGATGCCTATAACTGATGTTTTAAAGGTGACCCCTGGAGGGCAGTCATTATCTGTTAGTAATTCACATGTATTTATTTTTTTAGTGTTTCCTTTTTTTCATCACGTTGCGACCGTGGCTGAGCTGGAGAGAGAGGCGGGCTTGGAAAATTATAGAAATATAAAAAGTTTTATAGTCACTTTGATAGGTTACAAGGTATACTTTTGAATTACTTCCTTAAACTCCAACTGGAATTTCTTTATTACATGTTCCAGAAACAAACAAGGAACTAATACTCGACACAACACATCATCAAAGAGATCCGTTAACACCAAACAAGTAAAAAGTACAGGACGAAATGTAATCTGATCAGCAATATTCTTTGGAATGGTTTTATTCATCCTCACCCTCTTGCTTCCATCCCCTTTATCATAATCAACTATAGACATCATTAATGAGCTTCCTTGACGAAAATGATGAAAAGAAGGCAAAGGGAAATATCACGGTGGATAGTATTAAACTTAAGATGATATCATTACATGGCCACACACCTTTGTAGTTACCTTTTATTGTTTTTCTACAAATTAACGCAGATACAAGGAAACATCCACCCAAGGATGATGCACCTTAATGCTCTGATAGCTGATATATTATCAAGCATATCTTATTTAAGTGTCCATCGATTACTTTCAGTTTCACTCACAGCATACCCAGTTCATTGCACATTGTCAATTGCTATGGTTGCAAACGATGGGAATTGCAGAGATAAACCTTTATAAACCGGTGGTCAGATGACTCACAGGGATGTCTGAACATGGTCATTGTTGTCTGATCATTTGAAAGATTGAGTAGGTATTTTCGTAGCCTTTCATTCACCAGACAAGTCTATTAAGAAGATGATGTTACAACTATGATAGTCCGAAAAGATAGTTGGTAGAAAGGTTTAGGGTGAAAACACTTTACACAGACAGTTTGGAAATCTGAAACAGTGAAATGTTCTCCAGCACCGATCAGTCTGGGCCCATCATTCCCTCTGACTAACCACGTCTCCGGATGAGGAATGTGAGTGTAAGTCCATTGAGGTCACATGCCTCTCGGCTCCTCCATGTACAACCCAGGCCAATCCATTCTGTCATAAAAACAAGACTAAATCCCGTCCCAGGAAATTGTCTGCTGTTAGAGACTTCTAAATACATTCATGGATTTATGATCCTATGTATGTGTGTGTGTGTGTGTGTACTTATAGAGAGAACAATCAGTCAATGAAGAGTACTGTAATCGTAATGCAGAGTGTATTTCTGTTAAATTCTCAGAATCCACCAAGTTTAGCTGGTTATGTCTTCACAGTTATACAACTGCTAATCTACTGGGTAATGGTGTGTATTTCTGTGTGCATTAGGCTGTTTAGGATTAAAGAGGGTGTCAAGGTTTGGGTGCACCACTAAAACACGTATACAGTCATTACTAGTCATTAGTGATGTTATATTGCATGAATCTACATTTCAATTACATAGAATTGTTTCTTTTTAAATTAAATGTTGTTTCTTTTTGTTTGTAATAGTTCCCTAACTAACGTGCATGTAACGTGCATGGACATAAAGGCAAGGAGCCCACACAAATTAGTCTTATTTCAGAAGACACCTGTCTGTGTGACGTGCCTGTCTGTGGGGCACACCTGTCTGTGGGGCGCACCTGTCTGTGTGACGTGCCTGTCTGTGGGGCGCACCTGTCTGTGGGGCACACCTGTCTGTGGGGCGCACCTGTCTGTGTGACGTTCCTGTCTCTGTGACGTGCCTGTCGGTGGGGCACACCTGTCTGTGTGACTTGCCTGTCTGTGGGGCACACCTGTCTGTGTGACGTGCCTGTCTGTGTGACGTACCTGTCTGTGGGGCACACCTGTCTGTGGGGCGTGCCTGTCTTTGTGACACACTTGCCTATGGGGCCCACCTGTCTGTGTGACGTGCCTGTCTGTGTGGTGTACCTGCCTATGGGGCCCACCTGTCTGTGTGGCGCACCTGTCTGTGTGGCGGACCTGTCTGTGTGGTGTACCTGCCTATGGGGCCCACCTGTCTGTGTGGCGATGCTGTCTGTGTGGCGGACCTGTCTGTGTGGTGTACCTGCCTATGGGGCCCACCTATCTGTGTGGCCCACCTGTCTGTGTGGCGGACCTGTCTGTGTGGTGTACCTGCCTTTGGGGCCCACTTGTCTATTACATTCTTTATATGAGGTGAAACTCCTCTGTGTTATGGACTCCCCACTTGATCCTGTATTGCCTTGTTATGTCCCACTGCTATTTGGACTCTTGTGTTCTGTGTATTTATTGTGTAAATGTATGTTGTCTTGCACATTTTTTGCCTCGTCTTTGCCAGGTCGCCTTTGCAAATTAGAATGTGTCCTCAATCGGCCTACCTGGTAGAATGAAGGTTAAATAAAAATTAATACAAAAATGCGTGCATGGGAGTGCCTTTATATGAAGACTCTCCTTCTTCTTCATCTAATTATATCCACCACAAAGATCAAAGGTTTCCTAATCGCTATGGTGATATGAAATGATGGGCACCCATTTAGTCATAGGCCAATCAGTGCGACCGAGACCATTTGCTTTAACATGCCGCTGTATCATCATTTCTAATCCTTTTGTAAAGAACATAATTGGCTTTTGTTTTAAGTGGGCTGTGTGTGTGTGTGTACGCGGGTGTGTGTGTGTGTGTGTGTGTGCGCCTTCTCAAACCATCATCACCATAACTCTTTTCGAGCAGGATTTATTCCATCTGAGTTTCTGAGTTCATTATGAGAGATTAAATTACAGGACAAGTTTAAACGGTGTGGTTATCGCTCGAATCTTTTCACAAATATACACCAGACAGAGCAAGTCATTTTCAGTGATATATTTTATGTAGTCACGATCTTTAGAACAATACAACACTAATCTACAGTTAATAAATGCGACCCAGGACAATTGTAAGCAAAACAGCCCATCATCACAAACCCACCATACACAAGTGTGAAGGCTTTTTTCTGCATGATAATAATCCCACATTTTTTTAATTGAACCTTTATTTAACCAGGTAGGCCGATTGAGGACAATTTCTCATTTGCAACAACGACCTGGGGAGCAGCTAGGATTTCAACCCAGGACGTCATACACACAAAGCATGCCCTCTACCACTAAGCTGCCAACTCCTCTGTGCCAAGCCTACCTTTGGTTGCATTCTGTTGCATCGGAATAATCTTTTGCAAACTCCAGATAGTCCAAGAAACATTTGACTAACAGCCATTTGCAAAGCTCGTAAATATACACAAAACAGAGCATCTCTGGACTGCTCACTCAAAACTAACATTGTGAAATATTTTAAATTAGACAACCATGCTAGTTTTTGTAATTACAATGTGAAGGCTTATAGATAAAATTCCTGCAACTGAAATCAGTCTGATGGACCTGGCCAATTGCATCGCATCAGTGGGATCCCTGAGCTAATTTAATGTCATTAGGCCTACATGTTGCTGTTGTTTTAAATATTTAGTAAGTCGCAACATAAAGCAATTACTTTTAAACCCAGGACATGTTTTCGCCATTTACGGTTTGATTCAATTTAAACCTGTTTTTAAACGGAATATCACGCTTTGCGCTTGGATCATATCTGCACTATACCTGGATCGTAATACTTACACATTACACGACCAAAGGATCAGAGAACCTAGTCGCGTTCATGTCAAGATAACCTATTTGTGTGTACGTGTTATGGATTTCAGAGCAATAGTCTTTTTTGGTCAGGGAGATTATGTGTAAATGAAATGATTTCACATGATAATTAAGTGATTATGTTATTGGTCAATGTGTGCTCAGAGATGACGTCTTAATGAAATGATTTCACATGATAATTAAGTGATTATGTTATTTAAAACAGCTCGGATTAAAAGGCATTTTCAAAGGCTTAGAACCCAAACTACTAGAGGATGAAAATCCATTGAAATATAGATATTTTCATTCTGCCAGCTCTTAGCAGCACCCTTCATTATAAACCATACAAAAGCCGCCACTGAGGTGGACTTACTCCAGGTCTACGCCTGTCATTCAGCTCCAATTTACATACCTACAATATCTGACCCTGTGCTTGAACCCAATCAGTGTACTAATCCAGGTGTAAATATGTGCTGGAGCCTGAATCCTCATAATCCTTAATAAAAAATAACATTACAAGAAGGATCCCCGTATTTATAATCCCTAATAAAAAATAACATTACAAGAAGGACCAACATATTTCAGCCTCAGTGTTTCTACAAACCTGGCTTTCACTTTTGGTATGTCCCTATACTCACACAACTCACGTAAACCAAATATGGAGAAAACGTGTCAGCAGCCTTGGGACTCGATTGGCCCGTGAGATATTACGTTAAGACATATATTAACCTTTGGAGCTTCCGAAGCATTCTTTGTGATTTATACATTTTTGTGGTAGCTGGATTATAAAGGTGCTGACTTGATGTGCTCCACCCCATTTGGCTGTGAAGTTAGTTTCTATTTTGCTTGCGGTGAATTGGGGTACTTCGTCACCTACCGACTTCTCAGGCCAGACTATCCTGCAAAACAGGCCACCTTTAAATGTCGTCGTGGCTGTGATTAGTCGTAGCCTCTGGCTATTTTATGTGTGTCTACTGCGATGGCAAACGTGTTATAGGTGGGCTAGCAGTTTTCCCTAAACCCAACACCTGGTTTAAATCTGCCTGAACTTTGGGCTGAATGGCACATGAAATACGGTTGGCAAAACTTGTCACAGTTTTAAAGATTGAATTGCCCAAAATGTTTCTAGAAACTCTCGAAACAATATAGAATTTCTAGATTTTACAACTATGTAGATTTTCATTCTGGTGCTCTAAATAGCCATTCCCTTTAACTAATGCTGACAGGCATTGTATGTTTTGTCATCATTCTACAAAGATACATAGACTTTTAGTTGGTGGATAGTAATTGGTAAAAACAGAAACATAGAAGTCGACGGACAAGTTCCAACTCTCAACTGGTTTTGTGATAAATGTATCATTAGCACATCTGTGTTCACTGTAGGTGGGGGCAGCCCTGTAAGTCTTGTGATCACTTGGTGTTTGTCTTTCATCCAATCTCAATTAATCTCATGCTGTGTCTTGTTGACCACCCACTAATAGCGCTAAGTTTTTTGACGCTAACAGCAATCCCCCACAAATCAAAGAATATGAGAAGAGAAATGGATAATGTATTTCTTGCACATTCACAAAACCTTCTGTGTAGCATTCGCTGCTGTCCACCACTGTGAATGCGACAGAAAATGGATCTATCATCTGAGCTCAAACCAAGACTTTCTACTGTACGTGCACAACCCTAAACTAAAAGGTTAAATGAATACAGTTGCAAATGAATACAGATGGCCTAAAAGTGTCCACTATCATTTAATAGGTGCACAAAGATTTAGGCCTTAATGCTGTCATATTAGGTAGTTTGGTCATCTTGTCAACGTATTGTAAAAGGGAAGCAGTTGAGCCTAAATGGGTCCTTGACTCTAGCATTTATGTTATTTGGCCCATGTCATTAAAACTGCTAGCTCTCATACTTGAATTTCATGACTAACTGAGGTGTGAGTTTACTGCTACTGCCGATGCACACTATAATTAAAAGTGGCAGATTGCATCTTTAATAACCTCCAATACTCTCTTTTAACTCAGTATAAAATTGCATATGCATTCCAGGTCAAAGCCACGTGCATGTGTTTTACTTTACGGCACCACAAGAGTTTCTTATTGTCACCCCAGGGGTGTCACCAGCCCTCTGCTGTAGTCCCTCTCCTCTACTGTGGCTCTGGATGACACCAACTCCATCAACAGGTGTCAGTTATAGACCTATAACCGTTGATAAGTCTGCCTACAGGACTGAGGCGAGCAGAATTTATATATGCCATGATTGACTTGAAACAAGGGAGGGCACACGCACTGATAATTAAATAAACGATTTGCGAGGTTGCCGATTTTAAAGGTTGTTTGGAAATCACAAAAATCATGTCACATTTAACCACATAATTAACCCACATAAGTATGCTAATCCACAGGGCCGCCCTGCTAAGAAGATTTAATGCCAACCAGGGTAACTAGTTTTCCTTAAGGTGTGTAAAAATGTTTTCTCATTGACTGTCAGTATCAATAGAGAATGGATGTTACTGCTGGGATGTTTGTGGGTTTCTCACAAGAGATGTTTAACCCAAAATATTTTAAGAAACCAAATTTCGCTTTGGGTAATTAGCAACCAGCATCTAAATAACCCGTTTGTTACGATTCCTTTAGGTGAAGTGAGCCAGGCGCAGAGAGTATACGTCATTTGTGGAGTTTTATTCAAAAATAAGCAGACACAATGAACGAAAAAACATGTACATTGTAAATCAAATGAAAAAGCCTCTAATCAGCGACTTTTATAATAAAAAACAGCAACCCGGACAAAACTAACCTCTAACTTAAACCGTAACTTCAAATAATGCAAAAAACTGTGTATTAACCCCCAGAGAACTAAAGGGCAAAGCTCATCACCGAAAATGAAACCAGCTGTGCTCAATGAAAACAAAACCACAGGAAATAATGTGTGCACCCCACTAAAACCCCCGGAGTGGGAGCCTATTGTTGACCACTCGCAACACCATTAGAGGAATAGAGTCATAACTCAATATCTGCCTACAAATTTGCACAGACATGTGTTTAGACAAGTATATTTATTATTAAAATGTATGTTTTCAACCAAGTGCACTTCCTGTTTCTGCAATTTTTGTGATGTCCATTTGTAAATCACAATTTTAACAACTCATTGAAGCAACACTCTGGGTGGTGCTGTCTTTTACACATCCATAGTTGAATAAAACACCATGTGAGAATCAGGTTGCCTGTAATTTAAAAATCCCTGACAAAATGTCAGGGTGTATGTACACAGATGCACCAAAAAATGTTTTCTTTAACATCATGTGGACAGCTGTGTACGCCTTTGTTGTTTACCTGGGGAAGTGATGGCACCAGGATGCACTGTGGGAAAAGGACAAGACGATAGAGGGTGTGTGATGAGCCAAACGAGGAAGAGGGGGCGTTGGATATGAGAGGCACGGGCATCCTGCAATGCTAGTTCGTTCCAATTATTGAAGCATTTACTTGTTCCCCACAGCAGAATATGAGTGACAGGCATTCCTGCCTCCAACAACTTTCTTTAATACTTTCTCCTACTTTACAGTCTATAATAATGTATTAAACTAAGAGGACATGGCGTCTATAATAACGTATTAAGCTCAGAGGACATGGGGTCTATAATAATGTATTAAGCTAAGAGGACATGCAACACATTCTAAAATAAAGGTACAATTAACCTTAAAAAATAGGATCTACGGGACTTCTTGAGTTAACATCAACATGACATATCTCCTTCTTCAACTCTTCAATGTCTCATGGATTGACTCTCCATGTATGTGCCTTCACGAAACAACAAACCACTGGACTATAAGAGCATACCTCTTGCCCAGACATGCCAGCCAATTTTATTTATGGCCCCTATTCACACCACCTGAAAACCAGACCTGGGTGCCCTGAACACCTGTAATTAGGCCAATCTGTAAGTGGAGAAGTTTGGGAAGCTGCCACTTAACTGAGGGCATAGGGTGCTTCCAAAGAAGTATGACTCATACTCCAAGTGAAAGGAGGGCTGTTTTCTGTTCCCAGTGACACCAAATTAAGGAGGTTGAATTCTGAACCACGCCCTTTTCCAGCGAACGTTATTGTACTTCATGCTTCATTCATTTTAGCCATTTTGCCTGAGCTCAGATACTCCAAATGCTTTAGCATGACATAGTCCTTTCCAGTCATCAGCAGCTAAGGCTGCATCTTTATTCAGTCTCGTTAAGTTCCTTTGGAGTGACGTGTCAACACATACTTTTATGATCTTCTCATGCATTACATAGCTCATGTCACAGTCAAGCTCAGGGTGAAACAGTCACTGCCCATCTACAAAAGGAAATGCAGGGTTTATTCCTGTCAGACTGGTGCATTTGAAAATTTCATTTGCCAAAAATGGAAACTGTTCTACAATTTAAAAAGCATGGAAGCCCATATGGGACATAATTCAAATAATGCAATTTTACAAATGCATTATTGTTTTCCAAAAAACATAACCCGCTTTACAGTGGACAA